ACAAGTCCGTGATTGTCCGTAGTTGATACGTGTTAGCCAGTGTCAACTACAAAGTTCTGCGCCGTCTGGCTGTGACGTATCAACCACGGACAATCGACTTGTAAAGCGACACGCAACATCTACCTCGCAGAGCCGACGATACTAAATTTGGAAAAAAAGGCCAGGCTACAAATTCCCCTTTTCTTTTAGATTGCTCGACAAAATAAGACATGCTCAGATCAACCTCTTTGAAGAGATGCGCCATGAAGTGACTGGCAAGGGAGTGGTCAGAAGTCGAAGTGGCCGGTCTATGCAAGTTGCATACCACTGAATGCAGCACGAACGCTGATACCAAATCAATTCTCCATATCTGCTAGATCTCTTTGCATGTATACGAAATTTTGAGCAGTTTTACTGCAAGGAAATTCTATTCCTTTGGGCAAATCAATGCCTTTTCACTCTTGGGTGTGGATTGTAAGTAATCTAGGTGCACGGTCAACTAGCATTGAGCCGATCTTTAGTATGGCCAAACTTACAATTTCCAGGCAAGATTTCTTCGCAGTATAACGGCTTCTGACTTCGTCCGCGAAGGCTACAGCGGATACAGAAGATAGAATTAGAATTATTTTTCTACTGCTTTCAACGGTATGCAGCTTTTTGAGTTGACCACTTCCACTTTCTTGTGAGATGGAAAATGGTCGCAAAGTGCTTATAAAAAATATTTCATTATAGTTGTCTTGTTCACATTGATTTCACGTACAAAGCGATACTGCAGCGAAGTCACAAAGTGACGTTTAACAGGAGTGTTCAAAGCTCCAAGCGATTTTTTTTTGAGATTTTCTTATTATGGAGTGTTTGCGGCACCGAGATTGAGGCATTCGGGCGTGAACAAATCGCCACGCCAATTATGCATCTTACGCGCAAGTGGCCTTCACTACAGGATTAGCATCTGTTCACGAGCAAATTCAATAGTGCAATCTCAGCATCGAGCACAGTATATCAAGCGAAATGTTCACTAAACTGTACAGCAACAAGACAACAACAACATTCTAAAATTTCTTTTGAGCTTCTACTCAAAATAAATTTTTAGAATCCATAGCCTGATGTCGTTTACGACACCGCCGTGCATTATCACATGCGCTCTTCACGGACCATGGAAACTTCAAATAAGAAAGCTCGTAATTTCTTACACGGAAACTCAGAGCAGACACCGAACACGGAGGCTCAGCTTGCCGAAGAGTTGCGAGTTCAATTCGTGTCAGATGGTCATAGTCACTTGCTATCCTTCTTTCCAGTTTATTCTCTTTCCTTCAAGTATCAAGAAGCTGATATGTCAACTGAATTTAGCTTCCAGTATTAACATTTGTTTCAAGTCTGTTGCTTACGATTTTTGCTTTTTGTTGAAGATTGTTATCTTTTTAATAGCAAAACTGGACTTGCGACTATTGAGAAATGAACTTTTCCGCATTGCAGAAGATCCTACCGGTCAAGGGGATGACATGAGTAAGTATGACCAAAAACAGCACAATATATGTCCTCCTTTGAGATATTGCCCTTGAATATGTGCGGTATGACTCAAAACCGTACTCGATTTCGATCCCGCTGTGACTGCGATTCATGAAATATGTTATATGAAAGCCAATGGCAAAGATCTTCGATATTGTCTATATGACCAGTGGCTATAACTGCACCTAAGTTGTGTGTTACAGATGTTGAGGCAAATATGCCAAACAAGAAAGATGTTGTGACGTGTACCTTCTGAGTGGCCATGCATGTGAGAGTCAAACAGTGTGAGCGACGAAGTTGCACGTTCAAAAACTATCAACACAGTCCTTTCGAAAGCAATTAACAAGAGGAATAGGCGTAAATCCCGAGATAAAGCTGGGCTGAAAATGTGAATAAATTTCTTATAGAGATCAGTCAAATTACCTGCGAATCACTGCCCATATGTAAAACGGGAGTTCGGTATTAAGGGGTCCTGGCACTGAACAAAAGTCGATTTCCTGAAAGAGGTGAAGGAAAGAGACAAGGCCATTTCTAGAAAAAAGCTTAATATGCCCAAAGTTAAACAAGGCGTAGAAACTACCTTGACTGCATCTTTACATGCGCGGATTGCATCTGGTATCGTAAAATTTTGTTCTCCATTCCCTCTGCTTTTTACGGCTGCTTCGTGAATGATATTCCCATCAACGATTGAATTTGTCAAGCAGGAGATCACATTAGGCGGACACAACTGAATCTATCCATGTCAGCATCTATCCGATTGATAGCTTATTTAATACCGCATTCGTGGCTCCTTCTGCATGTCTGCATACGCTCGTGTCTTCTTGACCTGCTGCAGCACGCCTCGTTTTGGAAGCCGTACGGTGCTTTTCGTATCTTGACTGTAACAAGAGTGAAAAGAAAACTAGACTTTTTTGATCCGCTGCAATCCTGACAATAGCCGGCGTCGATTATTTTCTGTTTTGATAATGTTATTTGTTACGAAAACAGTGGTCAGATATTGTGGCCACTCGACTTGGACTCTAAGCACCTTGAATGATAATACAAAAAGACGACGGCTGTATTAAAAAATGTAGCAATATATGGAACTCTCGAATGTAGAAGTCGAGTATATATAGCATTGTATATAGTATATATTGATTACTGATTTTATAAAGCTTCGTGGTTATGATAAAAAAAATACCGT